AGTCGTACTTGCTAAGAAGCTCTGGAAGAAGCAGTGAGTCCAGGCTGCAGTGTCATGCAGGAACTCATGTCACTCAGTGCCCAACCATCAGCCTACCTGCCACTCACTGAATGCTGGTTCCAGGTACCTACACGCATGACAGGCCAAGATCCAGAGCTTCGTACTGACTTGGGGAATTTTGTGACAGCTAAGCAACAGCTGAAGTAAGACTTCAGATTGCCTGACAACAACATAGCCAACAATATAGAGGGCTTGGGGTAGTGTAAGCGTACAATACTGTAATATTCTCAGCATGTATAAAGGTAAAAGAACAGTTGAACTATAGTACTTTGACAGAACATTGTTTCAAGCAAAGGATTTAGACTTTCCATAAAAAGTCTTCAATTGAACAAATAAAACACTTCCCCAGGGAACCCTGGTTATTATGTTTTTTTTCACTGATATGAAATTCTCTATGATTCTCTTTACATACAGGGCTTATAAATCAAAGATTATCCAGCTTGTGAAAAAAATCAGTAATGGCTTAAAAACATTCTATCTGACACTGTAACAGAAACGGAGATTGCAAGTACAGTACCAAATTCTTCATGATATTTATATAAGTTGGATCATTACAAATGAAAATATTTTTGTTATCATTTGCCTTCATAACTTCTTTGGCACTTGACTTGATTAAATAAAACACTGCAAATTCATTTGTGGTTCTTAAGGAGGCTAAGTCAAAAGCAAAATACTTAAACATGGCCTTTGTGACAATTTGGAGAATCTGTCTAAGAGCAGGCTATTAATTCTTGTGGATGTTGTAGAACTGCGATGTCATGAATGCAAAATTGTATATAACTCCCAAAGCTTTGCTGTCAGGGAGACAAAGCAGAGCAATTGAACCTTGCCAGTTTCCTTCAAGTGGAAGCAGCAACAACGGATTTTCCTGAAACCATTGGAAACCAGTCCAGCCATGTTTCTCTGTAAGGGCTGAGCCTTGGAGGATGGAAAATGCCTCCAATAGGTTAATAAATGAAACATCTAACAAAGCGCAAAGGAAAGAAAAACGATTCAGACAAGGAAGGTTCAACAGGAGTAAGTTAAGAGACATGAGAGAACAAAAGTGAAACAGTTTCTTTAGAAAAATGATTCTGATCGCAAGGCCAACCAAAGTCAAGGAAGTTAAGCAACAGAAAGGGATAAAGCTGCACTTAACTTCATTTGTTCATGTTAAATAACATATTAGTATGAAATGACTTGCAGAAAGGTGCCCGTCACCTCTGGAAACCAGATCACAAGTGCCTGCTCTTAGGTGAACATTTCTGAAAATGTAGCATATACTTCACGATACAGATAAATCAGAGAAGTCTAGACAACAGCTGCAACAGTGTTTGCTGGGTTAATTATGTGTTCAAATTTTTCTTTACAACTGTAGGTTTGTCTGAGTAAAAAATATTCTGAAATGCATGCACTTGCTCTGCCCTAAAACAAGCCCCCTGTACCTGTTGTTTAGTAACACAAAGGAGACAAGCAGAGGAGGGAATGAAAACTACCTTCTTATCTGAGACCAACAAAAAGGGAAAATATATTTCTAGTTTTTATGCAGACTGTGATGTGGGTCATTATCAAGTTCAGTCTGTCAGCCCTCTGCTTCAAGAGTTGACAAGTAACTTCTAATTGGTCAATAATTTTCTGTACGTTAGGATAGATAGGGTTGACTGAGAATTTAAAGTTTAGAGAGAGCTGTAGGAAAATACTGCAAATGGGATTCAGATCACCAAATACTACATTTCCTGAGGGAACCTGTGCTCTGTCAAAGTCGATGGCAAGAGCTAGACATATCCACAGGTTAATTTATCCAGCCTATGGTAAAATGCCATTAGGATAGGCTGAATCATTCTCTGGAGCCTAGGTCTTTTCATCACCTGTAGAAGGAACTTACACAACTAGTTGAGCTAGACACCTAATGCTTAGGGAACTAAGGAAAGGAAAAACGAATGTCCTACTTTGCAGGAAACATAACCGACGAACAGCTAAAAAGAGGGTTGACAATGGTTGCCAATGGGAGTCGTGAGGAAAAAGAAACCCCCATAAAGTGAACTGAGAATGACTCCAACAATGATGACGCTTTCTTCATCTTTCCTCTGTGTTTCACAAGTATACGTTGACATACCACTCTTAGGCCTCAAGACTACTCAAGCATAGATCATCAAAAGCAACAGCTATGTGATGATACACAGAAAAACCCTTGCAGAAAGGTCCTCATCTTAGACTCCACAGACTGCTCTGGTCCCCAGATTAATCTGGAGTTCTCACTGATAAACTTTCCTTCCTTTGAGCCACGGCCACAAATTGTCCCTGAACACAATTAACGTTGGGCTCTTTTGATCAGGAAAGCTATCTGGACTGATTTTCCTTGTCCAAGAAATTTGCCCAATATTAATTTCACTCTAGCCCTTGTTCTAGTTAGCTTTTCTCACCACACAGGAGAAATTCTTCCCTCCCTTTTCTTCTTCAGCAGATCTGACCAAGTTGTTTACTTCTCCTTCTTCTTCTCTACAGCAAATGTAGTACATGTCAAACTCCTCCTCTCTAGCCCTCAAACTTTCCCCCTCACCACAGCACATCTGAACCTTAGCTAGCTGAGTACTTGCATACAACCTGCCCTCCAGAAAACCCCTTTCCTTCAGAAGACCTCATCTTCAGCAATGGAAGGAATATTTCTTTGAGATGGTGTTAAAAGATCACTTTTGCCGATAGCTGCGGTTAAAACATCTGTTACACACCACAGGCCCCTATATCACAAAATATCCTATAATTTGGAATGACTGGTAGCATCTGCTCTCAAGAGACGCAAGCATGAAGCAGGAGGTGAGGAAGGTCAGAGTAAAGGGTAGGTGAGGGAAGGAAAAGCTAGAGCTTTCTTCTGTGCTGTTTTTGACTCTAGCTACCACTGCACATCATCCTCCTATACAAGTGCTAACGTTTCCCACCATCATACTCCTACTCCTCCCTGCCACTACCAAAATCAACCAATTACTTGATAGCTCAGCAGTTCGGGAAAGAATTAACTCACCCTGTTTCACCCCTGAACGCCCACTCACCCTTCTTGTTTAATTTTACAGTGTTTTATTTTTTGTTACAGCTGCAGTAAAACCCACAAAAGGAAAACACACAGTCTCATGCATAACATGTTGGAGACTTTTAATCATAAGATTTCATCCTTACATAAATATAGGGGTTAATACATCTAGTTACATAAAGATTAATCCCCCTAACTAAAGCCAGATCTGCGGTGTCCTTAGAACTACTTATGTTCCAGCTGTGTTATTTAAAGCTCTCATCCACAGCTTTAATATTTGCATTAGATTTTCTGAAAATGTTTAGGTTCTTTCTTCACGACTCAGTGCTCTTTGCTTACTCTTCCTTGATCTTTCTTCTCTGAGTCATCAACTCTCTTATCATCTTCCAGCCTCCTTCCTCTTTTATTAGAATGTAGCACCACATTGATGCACACAGGTTTTTCTGTACATTTACTAGAGGCTTATACAGTCATACATGAATAACCACTTTATCAACTGTAATATAAAACAGTTTAATATGCAATTATGTGTTGCAATAAACAGCATTACTGAAATATTTCAGAGGTTCTCCTGATGTTTAATGAGATGCACTGACAAGCATAATACCAACGCAGGGCTGGTGACATTGTTAGTACAGGCTTTGCTTTAGGTTATTGGCCAAATGTCTGCAGACTTATTTAGGGAGGCTTTTCATTCATTATCCTCTTGTATACATCCAGACAGTCAGCTCTGAGTCTCTGGGTGCTATGTGTGGGTATGTAATAAAGAAAATAGTGAGAGTACACGACAGGGGTTTTTAAGCCTGACACAAAATGCGTTTGTTTTTCAACCTAAAGCAACTCTGGGCTCTGCCTAGAGAGAGCACTGCTCTTGCTGTCTTCTTCCCTGTGAGCATGAAGTCCAGGATAAGGTTGTTTGAAAGGCATAGGGAAGAGTTTAAAAGAGGGGAAGAAGAGGGAGCGCTGAAAGAAAAGTGGTTGATTGAGACTTATGGATAGAGACTGTAATAAGTTCATAGTACAAAATATCTGGATAACCAGCCAAGAAATTACACCCATGTGGCTCTGGAAAAACATTCCCAAACTGAATTCTAGAAACAGCAGAAGGTTCTAATAGCAGTATTAACAGTAGGGCTCTGGACTAGACAACAAACAAAACAACAACACACCTGAGCCAGAATGATTGTGTGTACAACAGACAATGAGGATGACTGTTACTATAGCTAGTTCTATTCCTACTCTTCCTCGGTAGCCAAAGTTGGTTCTCAAAATGTTCCAGAAACTCAAGGCTAAGATAGATTAAAGGCTAAGAGACTTTCTTTTGTGAACAGGTGATTGTACAAATCCTGGAAAGCAGATAATTAGACTTTCTGCACCCATTTCCAATGAGACACGATCAAAACATTTGGCTCAGAGTGTACAGGTTCCTATTATTTTTGATTCATGTCTGTTCTATTTGAATAGACATTTCTCCGTGAAGATTTCAAATGCTTTTTCATACATTCATTTACTGACTACCACAAAAAGCATCTTTTTAAATGATGTTCAATACAGGATCTAAAAAACAGATCTGTACTGTAGGACAAACTGCTTTTAAGTTATAGCTTGGGACTTTACTAATATGTGTTTTGACGTGAAGTTTTATAAGTGTTTCAAATTCAGATTTCTGCATCCCATGTCCTGTTGCATCATCCATTGTCAGGATCAACTGTCTCTGATTTTTCTATTGCTTCTTAAATCAAGAGACAAAATTAGTTCTAACCAGAGTGATTTGTGCCATCCTTCCAAACATATGGAGAGGCTGACAATTCACCTAAAATGCGCGCACACACGCACACAAACGCACACACACAAGGAGAGAGAGAGAAAGGAAGACAAAAAGAGGGAGAAAGAGAAAGAGGGAGAGAATAAGAAAGAGAGAGGGGATGAGAAAGAGGATAAGAGGGAACAGAAGAAGGGGTGAAGGGAGGGAGGAACAGAAGAAAATTGCTTGTTAGAAACTCTCTAGAAAAATTCCTCTGAAACACTTCAAATCACTGAGGGAGGAAAGATTCCCATGGAGACAAACACCATATACTGCACACACACTGAAGTCATGCCCACTAAGTATGCTGCAATTAACCAAGTCAGTTATTACAAAAGCAGATGAAAAGGCCATAATGAAGTGTGGCCCAATAGCGTTATTCATTCTTAGCAGCTTGAGAGGGATATTGAGAGCCTAAGCTTCCTGCAATCATTAATAATAGCACAGACAGTAATGGAGTCATAATTTGTTGCTTTGAGAAGAAATTCTAGCCTATGCTTTCTTAAGTACATCTTGTGATAGTAAGTTAAACATTAAAAAATCATATTCAGCAATTCATTTTTCAAAGTTCAGCAGAGACTCACATTCAGGACAATAGGCCTGTGGAGAATTATTGGGCTAAAATCTGTGAAAAATGCTCAGCCAGATGATTTAAAGCACAAATGTTGCACTTAATTTTACATTAGCTATGTAATAATGCCATCCAGAATGGTATATATGTTTTGACTGAAAACTAAGCTGCTTCGGTAGAAAACGTGTGCCCTCCTTAACAAGTTCTTTTTGCCATTTTACAGTGTAATCCCCAGCAGGTCAGCAAGGTTCTTACCTGCCAAATGATATCACCTACACGGTGCTACATCAAAGTCAAATCCTGCCCTTTCCGCAAAATAACAAGGAGAAATGAAGGCCAAGAGATAGTTAACCCTCATAGAAACTGTCATATCCTGTAGTTACAACACAGTGTCCAGTACGAGCCTGTTCTCCTCACCCTCTAGGGTCTCTAAATAAATTTTCTGCTAATGGCTGCAGTTTGTTCATGTGAACCATGTTCACATGAACTACACAGTAGGCTCAGGACAATTCCTTTTGCTCTCCTATCTAACGCAGCTATAACCTTCTCTTAGGGAAACCTCTGGGAGTCAGCGGCAGCATCAGATAGAAATGTGGCTCCCTGACAATGCCTTCAAAGAGACACAAGACACGCCAGGAGCCGCAGAGCAAGTGTTATTACACAGAATGGAGTTCTGGCACAGATACGCTAATGGAGCACCAGGGAACAGCTTCCTTCTAGTCTTCAATTTCTTTTGAAACTCTGGTAATTTGTATTTGATCTGCAATAAACATATTAAAATCAGGAAAGATGTAGGCACAATCATTTAATAAAATAAACATCATTCTAGATACAAGACAATCGGACCTGACATTTGCAGTTACCAGTTGTGAGAACCGAGGTAAGCGAAGGATAGGAACCTTGTTGAACTGAAATGCAGCAACACGGGAGAAGTATAGGATGTGCCTCCAGTAGTCTCTATTATGGAAAGAAGAAATAACTCATTTGGTGAAGGTTGCGCTAAAGTGATGCAGGACAAGTTCCTGAGAGAGAACTCTCCATTTCATAGCAAACGTCAACATAGCTGGCCTGTGCGGTAGTACAGTGGCAAATGCCTAGAAGAATGAACTGCTCCTGTCTGCTGTGTGATCCCACCAGAGGCAGAAATATATACAAAAGGGTGGGATGAAGGATTTTGCCCCACAGTAGTGGATGACAATCCTGTTCTGCATTACACTGCAGATAGATAGCCAAGCAATGACAGATTGTGCGCAGCAGTCGCTGCATGCCACACCAGGTACCCCCTCCTGAGCTGGCATATACTGAACCTGTAGAGTCAAATAGGCCAGAAAGTGCTGAGGCTACCAGAGACAGACTGTGGATGTGCAATGAAAACCTGAGATCATTTGATTAAGGCCTTCCCAAGACACAGCCCAGATGCAATCAATCTACTTATCCATTTCTCAGTGTCTTACAACACATGCTTGCATGAAACA